AGCTTCCAAGGCAACAGAACAGATCTAAAAACAATCCTAAATAGGATAAGACAGATTAAAAGGACAGAAGAAGGTCACGTTTGAAGGCCAGAAACTACCATCACAAGACCCTCCCTGACTTTTAATCACACGGGACCGTGGGGACGCTGCAATGGTCGTAAATGTGAGGACCCATCGCAAGTTCTTGTTTGTAGCGTGGTTAAGTTGAGGACTGAATTTGGGCACCCAAAGGGACCGCAACCTAGGTGTTCGCAGATTAAATGCCAATCATGTTTGGGGGTTCTGCCCGGGAATCGGGGGGGGGGTGTCACCTCCCCTTGCCCACATCCCCAGCCCTGCGTTCGAGTCCGAGATAGAGAGAGAGGGAGAGAAAGAAAGAAACAGAAAGAAAGAGAGAAAGAGAGACAGAGAGAAAGAGAGCAAGAAAGAGAAAGTAAAAGAAAGGGAGAGAGAAGGTGAAAGAAAGAGAGAAAGAATGAAAGAAAGAAACAGAAAGAAAGAAAAAGAGAGAAAGAGAGAGCAAGAAAAAGAAAGAGAAAGAGAAAAAGAGAAAAAGAGAAAGAAAGAAAGAAAAAAGAAAGAGAAACAGAAAGAAAAGAGAGAAAGAGAAAGCGAGAGAAAAAAGAGAAAGAGAGAAAGAAAGAGAAAGAGAGAAAGTAAAAGAAAAGGAGAGAAAGCGAAAGAAAGAGAGGAAGAATGAAAGAAAGAAACAAAGAAAAAGAAAGGAAGAGAAAGAAAAAAAGAAAGAAAGAAAAGAGAGAAAGAGAGAAAGCAAGAGAGAAAGAGACAGAAAGAGAGAAAGAAAAAGAGAGAAAGTAAAAGAAAAGGAGAGAGAAAGCGAAGGAAAGAAAGAATGAAAGAAAGAAACAGAAAGAAAGAGAAAGAAAGAGAGAGAAAGAAAAAAGAAAGAGAAAGAGAGAAAGAGAAAGAGAGAGAAAGAGAGAGAGAAAGAGAGAGAAAGAAAGAGAAAGAAAGGGAACGAGAGAAGGCAAAAGAGAAAGAGAAGGAGAGAAAGCGAGAGAGAAAAGGGGGGGAGGCCTTTTGAAATCCCCGCATCGCAGGGTGTGAGGGGAGGCCGGGGAAGATCCTGGCAGCTGGCGATTCTCTGCCCGTCTGTGCAGCCGACAGACGGCCCAGCTGCCAGTGTGGAGGAGTGCCAAGCCGCGGCACCCGGCGCAGGAACTGCCCACTCGGGAAGGAGAAGGAGAATCTGCGTCTGCAGCCTTGGCTGGACTTCCAATCCGACCGGAGGGGTTGCTAGGAGAGGGCGCATGAAAGCCACTGCATCTGGAACCCAGGATCCCCCTTGATAAGGAAGAGAAACAGAAACAGTAGAAGAAGAAATACCCCCTTTAGAAACAATAAAAATAAAAGTAATATAAATAAAAGTAATATAAATAAAAGTAATATAAATANGAATATTAACTTGGTAATGGTGACTAAGCATGATAACAGTCTGTGTTTTGGGATTTGAGTGTCTACATGTATTCAAAAGGGATACTATTGAAAACAAGGCCGATAGACCTCCCCATGTTCCTTCCAGCACTATTATGATTGAGCTACACAGCATCAATATAAAGTGATGCATTCTGACTGATATGCAAGATTATATACTGAATCAGAAAGAAGAATTTGCATAATTCTACCCCTATCATTTTAGTAAACATTCTTCAAAGAGAAAAATTACCTGAACCTCATATTGACATACACCTGTGCGTCTGTATTATGGGTATGATCTCAGAAATGGGCACAGTTTATATTTCCTACTCAGGAATTTTCTATACTTGCAACATAGCTATGATTGGTTTTAGCTTGAGTGAATATGGTGATTAAATTTATATGGGAATTAGTTTTAAAGTCAATAAGGACTGATGAAATGTTATAAATAAATCAGAGTATACTGTAAATTGAAATGAAGGGATCATTATATTGATCTTTATGATTCTAAACACATTTACGCCCAGGTGCTCCAAATAGGTGATAAACACAGTTCTATTCAATAATAGATTAGTTCCAAAAATGTACTTTAGGATTGCAATATAATTATAGGGAACTTGATTGATTTACAATGTCCATTTTTCACATATAAAGGCCGCATGAAATTTTAATATTGTATAGCTAATACTAGAACATGTCCTATATCGTTCAAGAATTTTATTATCATTATCACTCTGCTGCTGAAATTGAACTCAGAGTCACAACTGCAGCAAATTTTGCTTTGAGGCTAGTTAATGGAGAAAGAAAAGCTTATTGTCCTTCTAACTTTTTGAAAGGGCTTGATTTCATCAGAAACAAAAGAAAAAAGGAATAATATTTTAGCCAGGGGATGAAGATTATTTTTCTAAGTGTTAGATAGTGAGAAAGAATATTTTAGTCATAAAGGAGAGAGTATTAACTTTTATGAGTTAGAAAGATCCATATTCACAATTGCCATAAAACAGGAAAATTGTGAAGGTCTTTCTTGCCAGTGAATAGAAGGTAATAACTCTCCACTGGTAAAACAGTCACTTTATTCTACAAATGCATTTTAAATGCATGGATATGAATAGCTATAGAAACAGAATGAGCTTAGATTTAAATAGGAACTTCCAACCACTTATAAGTGTCCATAGCTGCAGCTTAAACTTTTGAGATAATGTTTCCTTTCCCCTTCTCAATATTTAATATACAAGCTTGATCATTTCTATTTTGAAAGTTGCACAAAACTTAATTATTGGGGCCCATTATATTCAAGATTACTTTTTCTGGGTTTGATTTAGCATATTATATCTCCTTAACTATCATGATTTATAAAGTGTGGTTTATAGATTAGTGCAATACGTGAACCTGATATATTCAAGGGAGAAGTAGAAGAGCAATTTGATGTAAAATTTTGCAAGCCAAAACAGTTCCATTAGTAAAGCTTTCGTTTTGTTCCATTTAGAATATTACTTAGAGTTTGGTACTTCTTTGTCTAGCTCGATTCCACTGCTTTAATAATGTCTTATTACAAATGAAAGCTATATGCCTCCTTCTTTTTCTTCCTAAGGCACTGAAACTATGAAGATAGCGTAGGATGTCCCACTATTTTGGAAAGAAAATCTGTGAAATACTATTGATAGACTACCTAAATTGAAGAAAAGGCCCATGATTTGTGAAATGTTTGCATATTTTTACAATATAATGCATTCTCTAAAGCATTAATGCTCAACGTTCAACAGTGAATGATGCCTCTAATCACTCCTTAATAAAAAGATACACTAGCAGGTGCTACTGCTGGTTTCACCACTGTGCAATTGATTTGTTATTCTCTTTTCATCAGTTGATTGCAAAACAATACCTGCAGCAAAATTCAAATTCTATCAAATAATAACCAAGAAATTGAAGGATAACCTAATATATCACATAGAGCAGTGTTTCTCAACCTTGGCAACTTGAAGATGTCCGGACTTCAACTCCCAGAATTCCCCAGCCAGCATTCGCGGACATCTTCAAGTTGCCAAGGTTGAGAAACACTGACATAGACTATATAACTTGGAAAGGAACTTAAATATCATTGGTTGGACTAATTTAGCAATCAATTTATCAAAATGCTCAGAAGCTGACACTGGTCACTAACCTTGCTATTTTTTTTTTATTACTTGTCTGTATTACATCTTTTATTTTCTGAGAGTTGGATCGTTGTTTAAATTCTCAGCCACTAATCCTTTAAATCCAACATACTGAGCTATATGCAAAATGCATCTCATTCCTTTGCTTTCTATCTATACTTTTTGTGTGTTGTGTTGAGCTGAAACAGCTTCTCAAATAATCAAGAAATGTCTATAGTCCCGAAGCAATTCTGCATTCTTATGGCAGGCAAATATCATTCATTTATGGGCCCAGAGAAGCATTTATAACCCTCACTGTTATTTAAGCATTAAGTAGTATCAATGTTCTGTGGAATGTATTCATGCTTATGAACCAGAAGCTGTGCTTGGCATCTACATCATTCATAGATGGGTCCATTTAAGTTGCTCCATGGTGT